TCAAAGGTCTTGACTTGTCATGGTTTGCAAGGAGATGGAGAATCTGTGATGGACACTTGGCTGAGATTCTGCAGAATTAATCTGCAAAGCACTGTGTCAGCCATAAATAGAGATGGGTGCCTAGTCTGCTTTTCCAGGCGGCTAATTAGGTGCTATGAAAGCTTATGTTGCTGAAAGAAGGTAAATTAGAAATAAAAAAGAAGAAAATGAGAACAAATAAAAAATGGACTTCCATTTATAGAGTTGTCTACTTAGAAATGATGCTAATTTTAAGATGCTGTTAGAAACAGTGCTTACCACCATGGTAATAGAAGAGCACTATTCCTATTTAAAGTTGTTTACAAAACAGAAACAAGACCATTTCATTGACAGTCATAAAGCACAGAATACTTTTAAATTTCTGTCTCCCGTGAACATAGCACTTTAGAACTTCTTTACTGATGGCTTGAGTTATGGATTTTTATTTTAAAACTTCTATGACACATTTATTTCTTGAGTATAGAAAAGTGAATCAGATGGATACCAGATGTATATGCAGAATTCTTTTTCTGGAAACTGTATGAACAATTTCCGATGTACAAATATGTGAGTTCCTGAGGCAGCAGGTAAATTTGAAATTAAGGAAGGAAATCCTTTTATGTTTTCTAACATTTCCCTAAGTGGCAACAAATTAGTTGCCAAGTATTTCTCCTTAGAGGTGCTGCATAGTGCTTTGAAGACAGGGAAAATAAGTTTAAATTTCTGATTTCTGATAAATTCCTGCCCAAAGCAAGACAGAAAAGAATAACGAGTTAGATTCACTCTGAAGTAAGATGTTTTTTGACTGGTTCCTTGACATATTTCTTTTGTAATGGACAACACAGAGCCATAGCACACAATAGCACACAGGCTTTTTCTCTGATTTTCTGAAATAAGTATGCTTGACAGCATCCTGCTTAATCTTTGCTAATTCTTACTGATGTAAGTAACATTTTCACTTCAAGTTTTAATCTTACTTGTGGTAATTGTTGGCACATTTCAACCATTATCAAAATGACTATGTGTTTCTAGTGCTACAGTGACATTACAAAATTAAGATCATAATGAATAAATCAAATTGTAGTAAGCTTTATGGAAGACTACTAAAATCCAATCACATAAGGGTTGATAATTTGGTGTTTTAATTGTATTAAATTCTGAAGTCAAAGATAGTTAAATTGTTGATCTGATCATAGATTTTACCCTCATTATTATAGGGCAAAAGGAAAGATTAAAATACTACTTATTGATTTTTTAATTAAAAAGACCTACAGGTTACATTTATGTATAAAAACATTGTCAGTATTTAAGCAAATGTATATTATTTTGTTAAAAAGAATAAATAGTATACTTATATTATGAATATAGAACTTTCCTTTGATTTACTTACATTTCAGTTATGAGACCTATTAATAATGTTCAAGAATACATTGCATATAAATTTTGGATTTTTAAAAAAATTGGGACTATACACTAGAAAAATTCAATTTTACCACGTATATACAGATGATCTATAAGAGTATGTGTGTGTGTGTGTGTGTGTGTTATAGTTATGATTTGGCTGAGAGCAAAAATTACAATGATTCTCCAGTTGAGTCAATTTATATCTTTTACAAAAAAATCATATAAATTATACAAAATTGAACCACTTACGGTTCTTGCATTTAGATACTTCTCTTCAGAGCATGTGTAGTAGTGAGATTTGGCGATCAGACTGAAAAAAATGATTCTTAACTCTGCGAAAGTGTTATTAGATTGTCACATGGTGTTTCAGGGAATCATACATTTCAGAGATTAGATGCTATAAACTTTCCATATAGGAATAGCTGCTTATGGCTCCATCTGTTGAAGTTTGGAATTGTTTTTCCTTTGCAATATAAACATGGTTAGCTTTGTTTCTCTCGTTAGCATACTATTTGGATTATGGCCTCTTTCTTGGCATGGGGTACATTCCCTGAATGGGTAACTATGTTGTATTGAGGAAAAGATGAAATTAAAGGTAAATAATTTTTTGGTAATTTCTGATTGGAGTGGAAGAAACAAATGGATATTGAATCAAATATTTTTGTTTTGATTTCTTCTGTCCAGTGTCTCTAAACTTGTTTTTTGATACACACACCAATTCCATGCAAATGATGGGTATCTAGAAAATTTACTTTTTTTTTGTTCATTTTTGTAGTCTATAATTTTATGTATTTATTCTAGGATTCATTCTCTCTAAGGTATGAACTGTTTAATTATTTACCTTTAGAGGTTTAGGGCTTGAGAAAATATTCCACATTATTATTCTTTATTATATAAATTCAGCATAGTAAAGGGCTTAAAATATATAATAAAAAGTGCACATTGCAGAAATTCTCTCAGTATAACCCATCATTCCTTAAATGCCTGCATTTGTAGCAACCTTTCCTCTCCCTTCATTTCCTCTTTTATCTTTTCTCTACGCTTCACTCCATTCCTTTCTCTTTTTCCCTCCTTTACTCTCTCCCTCTTTCTTTTCTTCCTCTTTGCTTCTATCTCTCCCTCTCTTTTCTTTCCTTTTTTCCTCTTTCTTCTTTTTATTTTATGTTGAGTCAGTCATATATTATAGATAACCTATGACTTTTTTGTTCCTAGCTATGATTCCACTCTCTGATATATTTTACTTTGGCCCTCGGCAGTTCACTTTGTCCTTATACTTTCTGTTGTTTATACAAAAGTGTTCATTCAAATTTTTTCACTGTGAACTGCTGTTGTCAAAATTACAGACTAATCACAAGGTGAACAGCTTGTAATGTGTCATAATCAATACTCAAAATTTGCTTCCCTGGTTATGACATAAAGGAGTCAAGTAAAAAGCTGCAGATTTTCAGCAGTGAAGTACTGAAACAATAATTTCATGTTGGTGTTTTCAAATTCCAGGTCGATTTGTACTCTTCTTAATGTTTGCATTTGTCTATCTCTTTTTCTCGCTTCTTAAATTTATATTGAATTCATTCAGTGGTGGTTATCCAAATAGATGAAAGGGGAGTCCAGTCAATACTGCCATGTAAAACTGTTGTGGCATATTCCAAAAAGAGTGTATTGGTTGTAAATAAATTCAAGAAAAACATCGCTCTAAAAGATGCAAAAGTATCAACAAATGAAATAGAATATAAAGTTTTCTATAATCCTTTTGAAGCATAAAATTAGTTGAATAAATTAATATTATTGTTTCTAACACTTAGAAATATAAAAAGGGGTAGTTTGTATGATTTCCACTTACAGTAGGTAAAGAAAACAGATAGTCATGGAAAACTTTTCTGATATCTTTAAAAAAATTTTATCTCAGGTTTTAATTTAAATATATAGGAAAGGTTCCCAGATGTTATATTTCTAGCTGTTTTTGTTCCTCTATCAGCCTTCTCAGTAGTAAATGGTATGTGAGTTTATAGGTATATAATTCAGTTTGAGATTAGTTTTCAGTGTTCTTGCCCGCATTACATACTACTTGTAAGAGTGAATTTTTCATTCTTTCATAGGAAAATACTTTTTAACAATGACAAATTTTAAATAGAGGTGAGCTGCCTACTGTTTAACATTTCACAAGGGTGAATGGTGAATGCTATGAAATACCACATTTTTGTTCTGTCAAGACATCATTTTGATTTTTAAAGCAGTTTAGTATCATAGAAAATTATTTTATTGCTGAAAGTTTTTGAAATAAAATATGTTGTGTTTGTTTTTCATTTTGACTTCTGATGAAAGATTAATTATAGACTTTAAAACTTGTTTTTATGTGTGACTTTGAAAACTTAACTGTGCAAGTTTAATGATGCTGTTACATTTGTTATATTATTTCATATATCTTTTATGTAGATCTTTTTCTTTGCACAGGATACTAAACATGTAGGGATCATCTGACATCAATTAAAAGGCAATCCTCAAAGCTTCTAAATGTGTAGGGAATTGTATTCCCATTACATGGAGGTAAAATGTAAATATCCTCTTCTGAAAGTAAAGCCCCTGATTTTAAAAAGGATCATTAAACATAATGGAAACAACTGTTCATACTGGAAAGGAAGGGAAAGTATATTTCAAAGTTATGGTTAAAAATATTGAGGTCAATGGAGATATGCAGCTATTGTCATAACGATGGAATTTTCTTTCATATTTCCTTTTCTGATATCTTTTAAAAGGCATCATTAAAGAATGCTTTATATGGATTTTCCATATGTCTATTGGCAAAGGAGAAAAGTAAAAATTCTCACAGAAAGCGTTATAGCTTAAAATAGGATACCATGAATTGTCATTTATTCTAAACAATACCTGTTGAATAAACTCATTTGGTGTCTACTTAAACCATAAACAGAAAGCTGAAGTGAAGAAAACTGAATACATGATCCATATGTTATCTAATAAAATAGGAATGTGCACTTTTTGACAGGCTTATTTATAATACATTCTGATAGAAAATTCCATTAGTCACTCTGTAGGAAAAGTGGGCTTTGAAAAGAAAACTTTTATTTCATGACTCTCACCAAAATAAAAATTATAAGTGAAATAAGGATAAGAAACTTTTTAAAAAATGGCTTAGGACTTATTCTGGCAGTTTTCAGTCCAGTTATTGCCATTATTTGATTTGAAAAATTAATCCTAGTAATCCTTTTGAAGTTCTCTGTTTCCAGGATGGGATCTACAGAACAAAGACTAACTGATATCCCCAGGAGGTTAGATTATGATGATGCTCTGTTCTACCGAGAATGATTCTCCATTGGGCACTTTTTACTTCTTCCCTGGCTATGGGAATTCATTAATATCTAGAGAATAGACTTAAATAAAACCATTGTCTCAGCCAGCAGGTTTATGCAACCATCCTGAAATGTTTTAATTATTGTTTTCTTTTCCTTTTTAATTAAGAGACCAGAGGTCAACCAAGCCCACTGAGAGCTGATCACGGCTTCAGTAGAAATTCAAAGGAAACTCTAATGATTGGATTTGCTGTTTTCTCTTTTGTTTTGCAGAACCAGAAGAGTGTATTAATTGCACAGATGAATGCCGAGTGCTTGGTCATTCTGACAGGTGTTGGATGCCACAGTTCCCTGCAGCCAATCAGGCTGAAAATGCAGATTACCGCACAAATCTCTTTGTACCCACAGTTGAAGCTAATGTTGAGACTGAGACTTATGAAACTGTGAATCCCACTGGGAAAAAGACTTTTTGTACATTTGGAAAAGACAAGCGAGAGCACACTATTCTCATTGCCAATGTTAAACCTTATTTAAAAGCCAAACGTGCCCTGAGCCCTCTCCTCCAAGAGGTCCCTTCAGCATCAAGCAGCCCCACCAAGGCCTGCATCGAGCCTTGCACCTCAACAAAAAGCTCCCTGGAAGGTTGTGAAGCAAAACCAGGAGCCCTGGCTGAGGCAAGCAGTCAGTTCTTGCCCACTGACAGTCAGTATCTGTCACCCAGTAAGCAACAGAGAGACCCTCCCTTCATGGCCTCGGATCAGATGGCAAGGGTCTTCGCAGATGTTCATTCCAGAGCCAGCCGGGATTCCAGTGAGATGGGTGCAGTCCTGGAGCAGCTTGACCATTCCAGCCGGGATCTGGGCAGAGAGTCTGTGGATGCTGAGGAAGTTGTGAGAGAAATCGATAAGCTTTTGCAGGACTGCCGTGGGAATGACCCAGTGGCTGTGAGAAAATGAGAGAAGTAGAGAGAGAGAGAGAGAGAGAGAGAGAGAGAGAGGGAGAGAGAGAGAGGGGGGGGAAAGCATTGGCATTTTGAAGAATGATCTTGGGGACAACCCATTTCACAGGGAGGAGGAAAGACCAATGCTGCTTTAAGGCTTTTAGTGAACATCTGAAGTGCCCACAAGTATGTTCTTTTCACTGCTGTTTCTTTTTTCAGAGATAACAATGGTTTTGTTTTGACCAAACTTATATTAGGACAAAATTAATGATGTTTAAAGAGAAAAGAAAAGATAAGAAAAAGGAGAGAAGAAAAAGGAGGATGAGTATGCCACTTACCTTTTGACAATCTGTTAGAAAGGTATGCAGTGTGCGAAGTGAAGTATTCTGATCACTCTAAGACTGTGCTCCGTGATTTATGCTGACTTAACTGTTTACCTATAAACCCCATGCAAAGCAGGGTCGTCATCTGTGATCTGTGGTGGAGTTCTAGCAGTCATCACAGGCTTCTACTGAAAGTCCCGAAAAGACCTTGCAGTAGTCCAAGCTACACCAAACATTAACACATATTTGTGGTAAACATTTCTGTATAAAGTTACCTGCCACACACATAAACACAAAGAACATTCCATATCATTAGTCAAAAACAAAAACAAAAAAAACAAGAAAAAAACCCCGATCATTTGTAAGACGCCTCATGTCCTTTAAAGGTTAAATGTAAAAAGAAATAGTCCATTTTGTCCTGCACACACGTAGACTAACTCACTTCATTAAAGGAGAGCAAAATTTAGAGATTTAAAATGCCTATTTAGCATTTTAGTGTCCAACAAAGATAAATAATTGATTAGTTTTAAATTTGACATAGAAATGTTCCGAAAAATAGCTACCATTGAGTGGTAATATTCAGAGAAAAATAACACGATTAATATGTTGTATTCATTTGTGGACACTAAAATAGCTCAGGAAAGTGAAAATGTCTTAGACGTACACAAATCACATGACCATTTAAATGTGCAAATGTAAGAAGATTCAATGTGTTTACATCAAATGACATATTTTTATTGATTTATTGCAGATTCCGTGCATATGAGCCAAATTGTTGAGTGTATAAGAGCTATATTGTGTATTTTATTAAATTAATATATAGTTGTGTTGCAAAAATATTTGGGCTTATATTGTAAATGGCAAGTGTTGCCTCGGTAGCTGTCGAACTCTATGAGTTTTGTTTTTTCCTGCTTCCTTTTCCCCATGGAGTGTGGGAAGCAGTGCCTCAGAGCAAAGTCTCTTGTTTAATGTATAGTCTACCAAGTACTACAGTACATAATCTGTTCAAAATGTGTTTGAGTGAGCTGATGGAGCTAACTGAAAGGTCAAAAAGTACATCCATCAGTCATGGTTCTGTGCAAGTCCTTGTAGAAGCTTTTATTAAAGTCATGCTAAATCACAAGAACTACATTTGTACCAATACCTGAAACTTCTTCATGCTGTTTTCCATAACAAAGGCTTCTGCCTATGTAGATATCATGTTATTGGTTGGTTCTCAAAAGTATCTTAAGTGATTCAGAAGTGTCTTTCCATTATATTTTAAAAACATGAAAAATGCATTAATGCATGTGTGGTACCAGCCCTGGTTACTTACATTGTATAGTGTTTTTCAAGAGGTCTGTCTGGGTCTTAACAAAGTCTTTTTTCCTTATCTCAATGCTCCTCTGCCTCTTTTTATTGGTGTCCTTTGAGAACAATACACCTTCTATTCCATCATTTGGTTGCACCTTTTCTTATGACATTTAGCAAGTTTCAAACTTCCTTCCATATGAGGCTAAGAAACCTCTAATTTCAGGAATTGGGAAAAATAAAATTAGCACTTGCAGAAGTAGTAGCAGATGGGAAAATGCCTTGATTGACATTTTCCGTCAGCATTGAAAATTTTTGGCATTTTATAGCTTCATGGTGAATAGTTTTAAGCCCATACCTTAGACAATGTGGTGCTGAGTTAAATAAAGGCTGTTTGTGCACTGGAGCAGAAAAAAATGCATCATGTGCAAATTGGTGGAGAATCCTGTGCCTTCTTTTATGGCCACCAAGCCAGTGTAGAAACAGCATAAATATCATAAAATCCTTATATTGTGAACAAAAGCAAAAGCAAAAGAAAACAAACATTGAACTAAATTAAGTTTTTGTAATTTTAAATCTCAAAAAATTCTGCTGAAAATATTTTCATCATATGACATCAAGATTTCAGACTGTACCTCGTTTGCAAAGTTGCTTTGGGAGAGAAGAATGGACAACTCCCATCAGCCTTATTCTCTTGAGAAGTGTATTTGGTTCCTAGTAACAGCCTTTCCAAAGCTCTACTCTTAGTTTTTATTATTTGTAAATGTTTAAATTAGAAGAGAAGGGATCTTGTACATGTGAAACCTAATTGACACTCTATATTTTGGACAATTTATGTACCTGAAATGTGTTGTCTCTGTTATATGATGTTATTTTTGCCAGGAGACTACAGGTTGATTTAGCTTGATAATTGAAATTTGATGGAAAACTGATTTCTATTTAGTCTTATCAAGTGTTGCCTCTCTCTTACTAGACAGATAACCATTTAGTAAAACCTAAAGCTGTATGTAAATGAAATCAACAAAGAGAGTAAGGTTTATTTTTAAGATATTCTTAACATTAAGTAACCAGTTGTTCAATTTCTCACACATGTCTGAAGACATCAAAACACCATAAGATTTTATAAATTGATTGTGCCAATGTGTGAGGGATTTACCTTTAGGCTTCCTGTCACCAGTGATTTACTAGTGTTAGCTGCTTAACACATTATCTGTATTTAGTAGTGATTATTTATTTACAAGTTGGTGGTAATTCAGCAGTCAGGACTCTAAGCTTTTATAGTCGAGGAAATCTTGCTTTTATTCATTTCCCTGGCAACTGCCTTTATCACAAACCTCTGGTGCTTGGCTTCCCAGGAAGCCCATGAAATGCCAAAATCACACCTTTGGGGAGCAATTGCTCTAATGGATGTTTCATAATCTGTGAGATTTGGAGGAGTTTCAGTTTAATTTTGAATGTGAAAAAAAATCTTAATTTACATCTTTCAAATACTAATCTCTCAAAAATGTTACACATTCAAAATTAAAAATTTGATACTCCTTTGTCTTTTAGGTTCTTATACAACTGAAGTCAAGCACAGTTTATGGTAATTTTAGAACAAAACCCAAAGTTCTAAAAAATGCTTATGATGAACTAAAAAATCAATAACAAAATAATTTTTTATCAGATATGAATGATGAAAATTCTTTCATCACAGTTAAAAGTAGTAAGAATCAGTGTTAGTTATACCTATACCAAAGTAAACATTAAAGAGACATATCATACAATTTCAAAGAATGATTTCACAATATTTCTTAACCTAACATTTATCTTTATTACAGGCAGCATAAAAAAACAATTCCATAAATGAATTGAATTCCTGGTGAAGAAATTGACTTGTTTTATTTCCCAAAATTAGCCGAGAAGTTGTAAAACATGATTTCCCTTTAAAGCATCTAGACACTGCTCAATTTAAAAAATGGCACCGTGAAAAAAGTCATGTAGCAATAGAGCAGGATGCTTTATTAGAACCAGGTTAAAAGCTGTTTGTTGTCTAATGGAATAGAACTTGCTGAGGTCAACAAACAGACTGAGGTCTGGCATATTATATGCCCACTCGTTATTGTCTCATTATATTCTTTTGATAACAGACAGCATTTATCAGAGCATTAATTCAAATGAGAGTTTCAGCTATCAAGATACGCTGATTCCAAGCGTAATTGAATGAGACCTGATTAAAGTCTGACTTTCCTGGCCCCAGTGTTTTGCAGGTTAGCTATTCCCATTTATCAGCCCCATTGCTCCATCAGGTTCTTAGCTGCACCAAGCAATTGGTGAATAAGGACAGCAACAACAACAACAACAAAACAGCATACATTTTATGGATTTATCTCAACGCTATTGTTTAATGGCTGTGTTTAATGTGACCTATCTGGAAAATGAGGACTCCGAATAAAAAGCTATTACTAATAGTGGTGTTGCCTTCCCTTGAATTCATTAACACAGAAGTGATGTTTTGTATACTGCATGCCACAACGAACTTGATTTTAATTATTTTGGAAAGTGAAATATGGCATCACAACTACTTATCAAATTATCAGTTTGCCAGTAAAATGAAATTTTAGAAAATTTTATTTAAGGATATCACTCCACAGAGGTGCTCTGACAATATGTCAAATATCTTGGATAAGTGGGCTAGTGAAATAATTAACATGAAACCATAGCCTAATAATCCTTAGGACTTTAAAAATTTATAATTGATAATTCAGTACATGGTCCTGGAGGAATTCAGAAATGACCCTTTATAGACCTCATATTACTGCATGAGTGATGAAAAGAGAAATTTTAAATGGCATTTTAAAGTAAACATATATTTATCATGGTATTTTAAAATGGTAAGTTTATCCTACCAAGCCACAAATGTTCTGAATTTCTGCTCCCTGTTTGCCTTGAACTACTATGCCACAGGAGTAAAAGAGTAAACAAAGAATGATGCCCAGGTTAGGATCAGGTAAGTTCTAAGACACATTTGTCTTTATACATTGATTTTGATTGTTTTTCTTTTGTCTCACTTAATCCACACAACCTATATTTCTTCTCCCTAATTTATAGTGGAAGTGGATGGCATTTTCTAAATTCCAAAGTAACACAATATTCTGCATGTTTATATTTTTAAATTTTAATTTACTTATAACAGTACAATGTATCAAAATGAGTGCATTGGATTTCCACTTTAAGATCTTAATTGGTTGGATTTATTGGCTTGTACTAAGTAACTTGCCTGTTCATTATTTTGTTCATTTATTTGGAAGCCTTTTCTTTTTCACTGAGCATTATCTAGGTGCCATTTGCTAAAGACAGATCCTGAGGTAGAGAAAAGAACTAAGTCAATTACATTTTGCTCTCAGAATTCTTGAACTTTATGTAACATGGTGATATATACTAACATAAGAATTGATCTAACGTAAGAATTGATTACTTTAACACTATTACTTTTACATAATTGAAATAATTTCACTATTAAGAATAGCAAAAACTGTATGTATATTGTGCAATTCACTGCTTTTATTTGTTAAGGAGACCAAATTGTTACTTTAGTCACCTGAACCATCTGATCACAGTCTAAAGAGAATGGTCCTTCAAAGAAAGAGGAGGAAATCAGGAATGCAATGTATACTACAGTCTTACTCCATGCCAATGAAATGTTTAACTCCTTTTGTTTTAATCAGTGTGCCCACGAGATATAATTATTTGACAGCTCTTTGTAGAATATAAACAATAATAACTGTTAAAGGTGACTGTTGCATTAATGTGGGACATAGAAATAGATCTACCACTTAACAGATCATCTTCAAACTATTCATTAGCTACTTCTGGACTTGTTTGCAAAAAAGCTGAATCACACAGACTGGCTTATCATTTATTAGCTCAAATAGTATATTTTACTTTGAGAGGAACAATTTATTATTTGTTCTGTTTCCTTTTTCATATACACGTTAAATATTTATGATATTTTAATAGATCAAATTTCGATTGTGAATTGTATTTAAAAATTTAGCTTTATAATGTTATAGAACTCAGTTAAATTAT